AAAAAAACACTGGTAGACATTGAAAAAATAGTTTTGAATTAATAAATAATAAAAATATTATTTTCTTATAGAATGGCCAAAAAATTTAAATATTCAGAGGAAGATATGAAATCTGMTTTAGCAGATATCAATAGTAAAGTTCTTTCTCTGAATAAAGCAGCAGCACAATATGGGATTCCAAAATCCACACTATCGATGAAGTTATCAGGGAAAAGTCCACCAAATAGAAAAATGGGCCCAAGTTCTTTTTTAACTGTAGAGGAAGAAAATAAAATAAAATCTTGGATTTTGAACAATGCAAAACTTGGATTTCCATTAAGAACCGATGATGTGAAAGATTCAGTCCAAAAAGTGATTATTGATTTTCCCCGCCATGTGCCATTTAAAAACTCAAGACCTGGAGATAAGTGGATGAAACTTTTCTTGAAACGCAATCCTGAAATTGTAAAAAGAAATACAGAAGTTATATCTAAAGCAAGAGCTGCTGTTACTGAGGATAAAATCAGAAACTGGTTTCAAGAGTTAGACACCTATCTAGTCAGTGAAGGAAGTCGTGATGTCCTTAATGATGCCACAAGAATCTTCAACTGTGATGAAACTGGATTGCAGACATGCCCAAAATCTGGCCGAGTATTGGGACCAAAATCTTTGAAAGATTTTTATGAAATTGCACCAGGAAAAGAAAAAGAATGCATTACAGTATTATGTGCATATGGTGCTGATGGTAGTATTCCACCTCCAATGGTCATCTATCCGTACAAAAGACTTCCGAGTTCAATAATGACAACCTTTCCTGAAGAATGGATTATCGGGAGATCTGATTCTGGGTGGATGGTTAGCAGTACCTTCTACGAATATATTTCTAATGGTTTTTACTCATGGCTACTTAATGAGAAAATCAAATTTCCTGTGATCTTGTTTCTAGATGGCCATAAAAGCCATTTAAGTCTAGAATTAGCAGAGTTTTGTGCCAACCATGAAATTATATTATATTGTCTCCCACCAAACAGCACACATATCATGCAGCCATGTGATGTTTCAATATTTAAACCCTTGAAAGCAAGCTGGAAGAATGTTATAGGGAATAACAAGAGACAAGGAATTACTATTACTAAAACTAATTTTGTAAAATATTTTAAAACAGCATTTACTTCTGTTCGAACAAGTTGTATTACAAATGGATTTAGAAAATGTGGTCTATATCCTTTTGATCCAAATGCAGTCGACTACTCTAAATGTATTTCGTCAAGAAGAAATACAATTTTCCCAACTTCAAAATATAATAAACCTACAMACGAAGAACACTGCATTTTTTTGAAAGTATTGGACAACTATATTGGTACTACAACAATAGAAATATTTAATGAAAAATTAAAAAATTCGCAAATAGAAATTTCTAATGTACCATCATTATTTGATTTTTGGGCCAAATTTAAAAACACAAATGAATTGTTTGACATAGACAACTTACCAATTGAATTAGCTTGCGATGAACTAAATGAAAACAGTGATTGTTGGCTGGAAACTTTTGACCTAGGTAATATATTAATATTAAATCTACAAAAACATTTTGTTTATTTTAAACTATAGTAAATATTATATAACAATATAATATAGGTAATATTACATTATAAACATTTTTATTTTTAGATGCTGCATTAGAAACCATAGATTCAAGTCCAAAACAAATGATTGCCACTGCAGATGATAAATTGTTTACTGAAGACTGCATCACAGTACAACATGACAAAGAGAGTAAAAGTACTGAAGATAATTTATTATATTGTATTAATGAGACTGAAAATAATGTAAGAATAAATTATGTAGAGGATAATAATTTATTATATATTAATGAGACTGAGAATAATGTAACTTTAAATAATGTAGAGGTTAATACAAGTATTGAAGAGGATATATTGTTACCTACAGAGATTGAAAATTGTAACACGGTTAAATACGGTAAAGAGAATTTAAGTACTAAAGATAATTTATTATATATTGATATCAATGAGACTGAAAATAAAATTGTAAATGAAGAGACTGAAGATAGTGTAACAGATTTATTAACAAACGACCAAGAACATTTAATTACCAACAAAAGTAGAAATTATGAATCTAAATCAATTGATGAAGCTTGGGAAAAACATTTATTTTGGCCAAGGCCAGATAATATAGATTTAAACAAAAAAAATAAACAAACTAGAACTAAACTACCATATGCAGTTTCAGCAATACAGTGGAGAGAACATCACTCTAAGATAGAACGAGTAAAATTACAAAAGGAAGAAGAATTATGTCTCAAAAGAAAACGCAGAGAAGAAATAAAAAATGCCAAGTTAAATGAATCATCCCAAAAGATAAAAAAAAAACCGAAACAGAAAAAAATTATCAAGAAATCTAAAAAACATTCTGATAATTCTGAAAATGATGCTGATTGTTTATATTGTAATGAGCCATATACCTTATCTAAAAGTGGAGAGTCCTGGATAAAATGTTGTAGCTGTGCAGGATGGGCACATGAGCTTTGTGCTGGGATTGATAAAACTGTTGCATTTATTTGTGATATGTGTCGTTGAATCTCACCTTAAAAATCTTGTCATTATGTATTAGGTACCTATTTATTTACTACCTATTTATTACTACCTATTACTACCTATTTATTTTTTATTTTAAAGTTTTTATAAAGAGTTGTTTTTTAAATATTTTTTAATTGTTAATATTGTTATAATGATATGCCTTACTATATTACCAGGGCGGTATAATATATTTTTTTTTTATTAAAAATGTTTTAAAATGTTTAACTATTTAAATGTTTATTGTTATTACATTATGTACCAACCTATTATGCTTTAAACTATTACCAGGGTGTTATTTTATAAATTAAGATTTTGTTATGTTATTTGTTTTATATTAAACCATATTTTGTTTTAAATATTTTAAACTTGTTATTTTTGTACCCTAATAATTATTTGCCTTTAAACAGTTACAAAATCTTTTAGGTAATACATTTGTATTGTTTTTGGCATGACCAAATATTTAAATTTCAAGTGTTCAAATACTGGGTTTAAAATGTTCAAAGACTAGATCAGGCTGTTCAATCACTAGTATTTTACAGATTTTTTTAAATAAACTAATTTTGCTGAAATGTATTTAAGTTGGTATTCTAATAAATGGGGTTTTTACAAAGTAGACAGATCAAGAAATCCCATGATCTGCATTAGGAGAATTAATTATTAAAACTGAATTTATCAATGAAATTTGAAGGTCAGAAATTTCTAAACTGTTCAATAACTGGACTGGTTACCCTATCTAATAAACAGAATATAGAAAACTACAATGC